GTTTGGAGTAAATGTCGCTCCTGGGATTTTCCAAAGCGTAATGGAAAACACACTACGAGGTATACCAGGGGTCTGCCCCTACTTTGACGATGTCTTGATTGCAGGAGACTCCACACACATTCTAGCTGAAAGACTTAGGGCTGTCCTGTTAAGATTCAGGGAATCAGGCCTCAAGCTCAGAAAAGACAAATGCAAGATCGGGGTGCCTTCTACTGAATTTCTGGGATTCAAAATTGATGCTGCTGGGATTCATCCTGCTGAATCCAAACTAACTGCTATTTTAGAAGCACCCAGGCCAAAGTCTAAGGCCGAACTTCAGGCCTTCTAGGCCTCCTGAATTTCTACAATTCTTTTCTTCCACATAAAGCTAGTGTAGCTGAGCCTCTTCACAGGCTACTAGACAAACAAGCTGTGTGGCTGTGGTCACAAGCACATGAGGCTTGCTTTAAAGAAGTCAAGGCCTTGCTCACTTCTAACAGTGTTCTTGCACATTTCAACGAGTCTCTTCCTGTGTGCATCGCTTGTGATGCGTCCCCCTACGGGGTTGGAGCTGTCCTGAGTCACCTCAGGTCTGATGGAACTCAGGTTCCTATTGCATACTACTCCAGAACACTGTCTTCTGCCGAGCGCAACTACGCTCAGATAGACAGGGAGGCTCTGGCTGTTGTTGCTGGAATTAAAAAATTCCACGATTTTCTATATGGCAGGCATTTCACGGTCTTCACTGACCATAAGCCTCTGCTGGGACTGTTTACCACACGTAAGCAGACTCCCCACATCATTTCCCCTAGAATGCTTAGGTGGTCTATTTTTTTGTCTGCATATGATTTTTCATTACTCCACAAGCCTGGAAAAGAAATGGGCCATGCTGATGGCCTCAGTAGATTGCCTCTGCCAGTAGTAGAAGCTGACCCGCGCCAGCTGTCAACATTCTATCAATCCAAGCCTTGCCCGAGCTCCCTCTTAGTGCCAGGGATGTTACCGCTGAAACAGGTACAGATCACACACTTTCACGTGTCCGCTCCTGGGTCCTGTCCGGGTGGCCTGAGCACTGCCCTAGTCCTGAGTTTCAGAGTTTCTGGTCCAAAAGGAAACGACTGTCCCTTTCTCAGGGTTGTCTGCTTTGGGGAAACAGAGTTGTCATTCCCACCTCAATGAGGACTAGGGTCTTAGAATCCCTCCACGAGGGTCATCCTGGCATTGTTCGTATGAAGGCTCTTGCACGAAGCCACTTGTGGTGGCCTGCTTTAGATAAAGATATTGAGGCTAAGGTACACGCATGCCACCTGTGCCAACGATCTCGCCCAGAGATGCCCCAAGCTCCTGTGCATAGATGGGAGGAAACACAGTCCCCATGGTCTAGGGTGCACATTGACTACGCTGGGCCCTTTCAGGGCCAGTTCTTCTTGGTCCTTGTTGACAGCCATTCAAAATGGCTTGAGGTTGTGCCTGTCTCATCCACCACCACTGCAAAGACTATTCAGGTACTGAGGGGGATTTTTGCTGCACACGGGCTGCCAGATGTCATTGTGTCCGACAACGGCCCTCAATTCACCTCCTCCGAATTCCAAGCTTTCTTACAGGCAAACCTGATTCGTCATGCCACGTCTGCGCCTTTTCACCCGTCCACCAACGGTATGGCTGAACGCATGGTGCGCATCGCAAAGGACGCCTTGAAGAGACTCACCTACGGGGACTGGCATCACAGGTTGGCTGACTTTCTCCTTTCTTATCGCACCACACCGTCCACTTCTACAGGGAGAAGTCCAGCTGAACTTCGTTGGGGGCGCCAACTTACTACTAGACTTGACCGGTTGCATCCGGACAGACTGCCTTCATCTACCTCACATCCTAGGGCACCTAGACAACTACTTGTGGGTGCCCCGGTTTGGGCTCGCAATTACGGGCCTGGTCATACATGGGTCCCCGCTTCTGTTTCCAGGGTCACAGGTCCTCTCTCCTACGAGGTAGCCCTGGACAACGGTCGTGTCCTGCGTCGGCACATCGACCAACTCCGCTCTAGGCGGGACTTTTCTGATGAGACTCCTGGGTCTTTTCCAGGGGGGGAGGGGGACCCTTTGGAGCAAAGGGAAGGGCAAGAGCTACTGCCCATCTCCACTGAGGGAGCCACAAACGGCCCATCCCAAGATTCCGCAATTGCTCCGAAAAGGAAGTCATGGAGCTTACCCACACAACAGGCACTCACGCCTACTCCAGCCAGGGAGTCACCCCGGGGGCATACTCACTTCCCACACACATCACATAGCACTCCAGTAACGGAGGATACCCGGGGGCATCCCAACAAATCATTCCCCGCAAGAGAGCTGGCACAAAATTCCCAAGGTTGGCCTGACCTTACCCCAAATCCTACAGGGGGTCAAACATACACAGAGCTAGTCGAGGAGCCAAGTCCCGACTACAACACCCCTAGCACAAATCAGGGAACACCTGAGTTTTGGGAAAGTACAGAAACCCACACGAGCCCGAGCACAGAATGGGGTTCAGGGAATGGACAGCCTCCTGACAGGTCTTGGACTGACCTAGGAGGTTCTACAGAGACGCCCAGCAGTGGCTATCACTTCAAGGGGCCTGAGGGTCTACAGCTAGGTAGGACAACCAGGTCACAAAGCAACAGAAGCCCTGGCCTGACGAGCCCGGTGGGCAAGCAAGCAGGCCAGGCATCGGGGCACAGTCCTTGGAAGACACCAGGGCACAATAGAGAGAACAGGCTCACGCCTCCCTCCAGTCAGGGGACTTATGCCAGTAACCCAGAGCTAAGAAGGTCACAGAGAGCAAAGAAATCTCCTAAGTACCTAGAAGATTACATAACATTGCTGGCAAGGCAAAAGCCAGTAAACAGTGGGAGCACTGGGGAGCAAATTGTCGTATAAAATAAATGTTGTATGTTGGTAGTAGTTTTAGCCCGGGGGAAAGGGGTGTTATGTCCCGAGCCTTGCAAACGGCTCGGGCGTTTGCAGGCAGTCCCGAGCAGGTGCAAAGCTGCCCGGGACCAGACAGGCTGTCGCCAGCGCCGTGCGCATGCGCGGGTGCTGGCGCGGGAAAAGTAACCCATTTACCCGGGAGTTGCCTATATAAGAGGCTGCGAGGCGTTTGGGCGAGGCTGAAGCCATCTTCCTGTAAGCTGAACGCTGAATAAAAGAAACTGAGAACTCCAGCTGCTTCTCGTGTCTGTTTCCCGCCACGGACTCAACATGGCAAGTGTTTTACAAGTGTTTAAAAATAAACAGATTCTTCTAAGAGGAGGTTTCAACCCAATTTTACAGACAGGATTCTAAACTGAAAGAGGGAATGGCTTGTCCAGGGCTTTCCAGAGATGTTATGGATCTCAAGAAAAGATTGGCTGGACCATACTGACAATAGCAAAATGTTCTGCTTTCATAAGCTTCAGTGGAACAGTAAGGATGAAATGTTGACAATTCTCCCTATGGTCTTCTTCCTCAAATTTGGTATTTCCAACTATCCTACTTTTGGAGGTGGCTCTTTGCCCATCTGATCTTTGAAGTGTGGAAAAAAGATGGCTATCAGTTCCAGCACCACTTTGATTTCAGATTTACGCTCTGGTCCCTCAATAAATCAGCCACAGTGCTTTAGTCCCTCAGACAGAAATAATGTGTGAGCCACAAAAGGAGAAAGTAGAAACTGTTTATTTCCATCATAAAGATGCCTTTTAATATTTCAACATAAATCAAGCTGTGGTTTATGATTATAATAAATTTACCAGGAAGAAAACCAACAGTACTTCATTTGTTGCCCAAGACTGTGGAATGATTTGATTTGCTCCGTTTTTCAGTTCGAGAAAATGTAATTGAGATGGGTGAGGTACAGCTGTTTTAATTGAGTTTTCAGAGAGTACCTACTGCTGCTGGAAGCAGGAGGCTAATACAGAACAAGAAGGCGCGCACACACACACACACATCTACAAGCTGCTGCCCTTCTTTACTTCTGGCAATAGAAACCAATTCTAGATTTCCTCTAACCCCTGGAGGAAAAGGCCAGACACCATAGATGCATAATGTTTGGGGGGGGGGAAATCACCCATAGAGACAAATCAAGGACACAGGGCAGCAAAGAGCCATAGGGGAGAACTTTTGTATTAGGATAATCAATTAAAAGTATCTCCCACATTAAAACAAGTGGAGAAGATCTCAGCTGCTCATATTCACCCAAGATATGCACTGGATTTCCCTTTCCTGTTCCCTGCAGTCCTTGATTATGGGGTCAATGAAGAATACGCAAGAACAGAAACAATCCTATTTCACATTTCTAGCTCTTCTTTTGAAAGTTTTTAATGTAAGTTACAACTATTACGGGAATTGGATCGCCCTGCCACTTGCTTATTGCTGACATTTGGACGATCACTCCAACTCTAAGGAGGAACCCTCCACACTGAGGGACTAATGGAAGGCACTATTATTATTAGGCCGATGGAAAAGTCTGGTTCCTATTCAGAAAAGTCTGGCAAAGCCACATCTATCTAGAGCAGGGGTGGCAGGGGAATTCTGGGAATTGACATCCAAAGATCTTAAAATTACCAAAGTTGGGTAGCCCTGATCTAGAGAGTTGTTCTGAAATCAGTAAACAACTTCTACAATGTTGTGTTTTACAACCTTCAGAGCAGCATTTGGGGGTAGCAAAAGAATGTAATGTTGGCTAAAAGAGACATTTAACACAACATGGAATTGGGAAGGAGCTGCTGATGGAAATCCCGCAAAGCATACCAGAGGCAGCAGCTGTGAAGTTACGAATAATAGTGCATTTAAGTAAATGATAGGAAATGGGTGCACTTGAACCTTGTTGTTTCCTCTTGAGGGAAGTCAGAGCCCCAGAGAAGGAAATATTAAAAAGGCAGAAAAATATATTTTTCCTCAAAAGAATTTTTAAAAGCAGAAGCCAACTCTGCCCCCAAATCTCTCTATCCCAAACAGGAGCCAGCTTTATACAAATGCAAATGTAACCATCAGAAAGTTGGAGCCAGAAAACTCAAGAAGACAAAGAGACCTAAAATCTGCAAAGCCCACCCAAACTCTAAGAGTCATTAGCCCAGCCCCAGGGAAGCAGGATATGACTTTTGGGACATAATAGGATTAAACCACAGATACCAAGGCCTAGAAAAGCACTCAGACTTGGTTCAAAGTTCATGCCACAGGAACAGGAAACTTCCAAACAAAAGGCTAGGGAAGGTATAAAAACTACTGCCCATGTGCTCAGGCCTTTCTTTCCTCTGGTCTTTCCTGCAAGAACCATCTTTCTGCCTCTTTAAAGCAGTCGCCATATTGCTTATTTATTCCCGGCTTGGATGAACCAGGATGAAGACTTTACTTCCAACACTCTTTTCAAACAGGAAAAATGAGCTTCTGTTTAACAGAAGACCAGTTGCAGGAATTCTGCTTTTGCTGAAATCTAGCCCTTTTTGGCTGCTTCTAGAATCGAGCGATGGCAAACCCTGCCTTCAGAGGAGGTTCTTCTGAGCCGAGTGGCAAGGTCAAAAGAAGTGGGGGAAGAAACCCTCTTTTAAGATTAGGGAGGGATACATGCATAAAACGAGTAACTCACTATCCAGAAGAAAAAAGAAATACAATATATGGTCAATTCTTTTAGGGGAAGTAGGGCGCTTTTTATCTTTCAGATCATTCAAGGCCTGAAGATTAAGCAGTAATAGCCAAAATGTGCATTTTCATCATATACGGGTGATTCCTAAGGTACAGGACGTTTTGTTACTAAAATGCTAGCAGCCATCCTATCTTTGCTGGTGTCTTATTATTCTGAGGAGAGATTGGACCAGCATCTGACAGCCCTGAAATGACTCCCCGTGATCTCTCTTCTGCCGATTAGGAAGGTTTGCAGCAATTGCAGGCAAGAATGACAGAAATGAACAATGCTAAATCTATGCGCTTGTTGGGACAGAAGAGTTCCTATTTCAACGGAGTGTGGATATGTTTTTTTTAAACAAACTATTTTTGTTCTCCCTGAACCAGGGCAGAAATCTGGCTCTTATGGGTTCAGTCATTAAGAGCTCCCCTCAACCTGGTGCCCCAAAACCAGCCTTATTCATCTGCAAGCTTTGCAGGTTGTGTACGTGATTCTCTGATGCACCAAAAGGGCTGCCAAGAACAGCCTGATATCGAGAGGTTGCTGTCATCAGGTCTTGATATGCCTGCAGCAAACGTCCCTAGCTGCCAAGCCTAACCTTATGCAATCTAGCAAAGACAGAGTCTTCTTTGGGAGATAGCCGAGTTTCACTGAAGAAAAGACACTGTCTGTATTTCTTTTAAGAACAGTTGCTGCCAATCTCTGTAATAAAAGCAATTTGGGCTTTTAAAAAAAATCATTCTACTCAACAATTCTTAAAAAAAAAAAAAAAAAACCTAACATCACTGAATTTATCAACTAACTTTGGTGAACATCAAATTTAATATCACTGGTACAACCAGCCTGGAGAAGAGCAGCAGCATCCACCTGTTTGGAAGATGGAATTTAATAACAGAAAAAGCACTTTCAACACAACGATAGCCAAAGGAAAGGAAAAATAATACTTTCCTTATATGGATAACTTTGTGTTTTATGACCTAAACTCCTCTTGTGACTGTATCAACAGCAGTTGAAGAAATATTCCTTCTCAACAAAGCCTTATAGTCCCAACTAGAAGCAACTGAAATCCAGTATTTTGACCATCATGTATCAAGTCGGATGTAGGAATCGGATTTAAGATGGGAGTTCTCTTTCAAACCCCCACCCCACCCCCTTTTTTTCAGAAGGTTTAGTTGTCATATAACAGCCTGATTCAAGAGAAAAGGAGAACAGCACTACACCTAGAATACTGCATCCAGTTCTGGGCATTGTATTTTAGTAATGACTTTCACAAACTGATATTTACTTATTTACTTTTTGATTTACATAGCTCTGCATCCAAAAACAGCAACTAAGATGATAAGAAACCTGGAAGGAAAGTGTTATGAGGAGATAGAAGACCTGGAGAAGAGAAGACTGCAGGGAGTTGTTTTGAAGTAGCTAAATGACTGTCATGTAGAAGGGGAAATGTTTTTATTTATTTATTAATCAAATTTATATGGCCACCCATTTCACAGGAAGTGACTCTGGGTGATGTACAGCATCACTCAAAGTTATTTCAGAAGACAGAATGGCAAACAATGGAAGGAATTAATAATGGGTCATCTGAATTTCCTTATAGTAGGAGCTGTTCAACAATAGAACAGCCTCCTTCAGGTGATGACTGACTTCACAAGAGGTGTTTACACAGACTGTGGACAGCTATAAGGTGCGAAGCTATATAGCTGAATCATGCACTAGGATGGCAGTGGACTCAACAATCTCTAAAGTCTCCTTCAACCTTTACATTTTATGATGTGATCATCAGTTTAAGGAGAAAGAGAAATGAGATTTCATGGATTGGAGTTCATGATTTAGCGAGAATCAGGACGCATCGTTTGTAATTTTCAGATAGAAGATGGATTGGCTTTCAGAACAAGTCTCTTTCCACTTTCTATAGTTTTTTTCCCCCTATGTTTAGAAAATTCTTTAGATAGATTTAGTCATAACATATTGCATCAAGACTATATCAGCTGCTCTCCACATTTATCAAAGTAGTCTTTTAATAAGTAATCAACATTTTCACACTCGTACAGAAAGCACAGGGCTGGGCCTGCCCTGCTGCTGTGACCCTAGCATGATTCTGTTAATGGTATAAAGAGAAAATAAAGCATTATAATGGGAAACATTTCTTATTACTTATTTAAGAGATGGCTTTGTATCAACTGAGTGTATAGTTCATGACAGGACATCCTGCTCAGACCCATAGAGTACATAAACAACTGAGGAGGGAAATATCTGAAATAAAGTAACAACAAAGCTTAAAGTTTGGCAAGTTTCAGTCTCAGGGCTGCATTATATGAAACAAGGCAACATTTAAAGGCATTGGAAAGGCTGAAAAACAAATGAGGAAAACAATCAAAGTAGGACGAGGGGAGAAGAGGAAGTGGTGGGGCTCCTCTACCCATTCCAAAGGGTTTAGGTTGCTACATACATCATGCAGTATTAACAGTTATGAAACCAAGTTCCATCAGTTGCTTTCATTTTGCTCCTAATATTCAATGAGTTGGCAGAACAGAAAGCCACTTCAGAAAGAATATGAAGGATTAGGTAAGCAGATCTTAGTAAGTAATTGACTTGAGTCATCGTCTATTGCTTTGACTACTAAAAGTAAAACCTTTAGTAAAACTGGTCTTTTCCATCACATGATTAGATGCGTATCCAATAGTCTCTGAAATCTTCTAATAGGAAGGAAAACACCCCACTTAGAAAGCCTGATGTAGGATAGAGTCCAATTGTTTTGTACATTAAATGGAAAATCAGAACCTGAAAGGTAACTGAACAAGCAGCAAGGTGCCTCAAATGAGCATCAAGCTCAATGATGTATTAGTAGTTTAAAAGTAGTTTAAACTTGAGATAGTTTAAAAATATCCTTATTAGGTGCAACGCCTGGAATGGAAGTCTTAGAGATCCTCTTAACCAGAAATATTGCTCCATCATCAGTTTTTTGTTTCACTCAAAATGATATTTGCAGTCACAAACAAAAAACAAAAAATCCCCCAGAGCAGCACAAACCCAATCCAGAAGGTGTGCCGGAAAGGGGACAAATGTTTGTTGAGTGCGCTATTTCTAAAGGTCGTTCGCGTTTCTTTCCGACTATAGTATGCTAAAAAAGCAGGAATGATGTACTGGATCCCATTTCCAGCATAGGCGCCAGTAATTCCCACTAAGGATTCCAGATCATGAGTACAGAAAGCCACAACAATTGGAGGAATTAGTGTGATGACTGGGAAAAAAATCCTGTCCACTACCCAAGGGTAGGTTCCCCCTTCCCGGTGGAAGAGGGTTTTCCAATTATTTCTTAGAGTCACAGCAATTATAGGAAAGTTTGTACTGATGGTGAAGACGGGGAAGAGTCCCAGGAAATAGCGGATAAATGCAATGTTGACAATGTCACAGTTTGTGAAGTTGAGTGTGTACATGTCCATCAGAGTCCCGTTGCGGAAACAATAGATAGCAGTGAAAGACAGAAGGCTGTAGAAACCCAGGATCAAGACGTAATCCAGCAGGACTAGCTTGTTAACATGCTTCTTCTGAGAGATGGGAGTGATGAGGGATGGCAGGGAGTGCTGACACATGAAGGAATAAACACAGACTCCAAAGAGATTTCGTACTCCTGAGAGCTGAGCCAGAGGGGGGTGGCCTTCCCCTTGACCTTTGGAGATGCGGAGAAGGGCCATAATGATCATGATGATGAATGCTGAAACGAAAAGGGGGAGGGGGAAGGGAAGAAGAGAGAAGGAACAGAGTTAAGTCAGAGAAGTAGGCAGGATCCCAACTTTCGTAACTTTTTCCTCTAATCTTTGCTGGATCTTTCCTAGCCTACAGCTGGAAGGACAAGGGAAAAAAAACACTCATCTGGATAAAACTGCTCCATGAAGAGTTATCAGTACATAAACAGCCTTCCTGATTGTACTGAAGATTGGAAAGGGGTTATATAAGGCTCTGTTTAGGCTCTTCTAAATACCACTCTTTTTCCTCAGGAGCACCTGCTTCACATTTGAGTTGTACAAGAATGTACACGTTCCCTTCGTTTGAAGGTTTTTGTCTCCGTTTGTGTTAATAAAGCTGCATGGGAAAAAAAACTTCTTAGCATAAGCATATACCACTCCGGATGAAAGGTCATTTGAAAAATTTCCTCTGGCAGCACAAGAGTACATGCCTTGTGGTTCTGGGCAGCATTTATTAGATTTTTACAAAACTGACAGGGCAGGAATTCTTGTAAATGGCTTCCATAAAATGTAGATATGTATAAAGAAATCACTGATATTGTTCTGAATCAACAATAGTCAAATTGGCTAACTGCAATCACAACAAACATAGATAACTTATCATTTATTGTGCTTTTTGTTTCCTATTTTTTCCTCTTTCTTTTTCGCATAAAAATGCATACACCATAGAACAGTGGTTCTCAACCTTTCTAATGCCGCGACCCCATAATACAGTTCCCCATGTTGTGGTGACCCCCAACCACTTATACATCACCGGGTGCCAGGGGTGTGGCCAAAGAAAAGGGGGAAAAATGGCGGACAGCCTTGTTTGGGGACCCCCGTGAAATGGTCGTTCGACCCCAAATGGGGTCCCGACCCACAGGTTGAGAACCACTGCCTTATAAGCAGAAGAACACTGACACTGACAGCCCCTAAACTCAGCTGAAGAAGTTACCTAGTCTGGTAACTAAACATTTGGAAACCAACCCACAAGCTCAAAAGGCGAACCTCCACCCTCATTCCCTGGAGTGTTTTTTCTCCCAGCATAAGAACAGATCTCACCATTGTTTCTGCTGCCTTGTTTTCACTCAGGCTGATTAGGACAGATATTCTGGTACAGTGTTTCTGCTCCTAGAAAAGCTAGCAAATAATGACTACATGGCAGGGGTGGCTATAAGCAGTGAGCTACTGAATATAGACTTTAGGCTTTGGGATTTGATTTCAATCGCGTGTGAGCTTTCACAAAAATCCATTTTCTTTAAAAAAAAAAATTACCAAACTGTGAAATATAAATAGGGTTGCTGCTGTTTTGCATCTGTTTTTAATCTTCAGACCACAAGTCATAAGATACTTCAAAAGAGCAGAGAACCCAGTAAATAGCTGAAAATATGAAGGCTGAAATTAAAGATTGAATTCTATAACTTGTGCAGAAAAATTAATAAGACTCAACAACACAGAACACAGAAACAAAAAGATTAGCTGGTACAAATTCCTAGCTACCCTTATCAACCTTACCAACCTCTAAAACAAACAAACAAAAAATCAGAAGCTTCCTAAAGCAAATATTCTGCCACTTCGATTACTGCTTCCACTTCTGCAGTTTCTTGGAGAAGTTCCTGGGAGCATAAAAACTCTGTTCCTTATCCAACAGCTTTGTTTTAAAAAGACTAAACATTTATCCAACAGAGAAAGCAGTTGGGTATCTGGCAATGAATACTGTATTTGACAAAGGGCTATTTCAGTTGTAGACTGGCTACGCAGACTATATATTCACAATATCCCATTTTGTTTTATTTCTACTACAGCCCAAAAGCAGAGTAACAAGGAACAAAATGATGTCTTTGCCTGTAAGAGGAAAATGTCCAAATACCAGCTTCTGGATGCTGGTACCACATCAGGAACCACAGAATTGTGTCCTTAATTTGAAAATTACTCTGCAATATTTGTATATCCCGTTCTCAATTTATGAATGGGAAAGTCTGCCTGTCCAACCAGATCTGATAGGGTGGGCCCACTTCATGTCCTTTCCCTTAAATGCTTCATGGGACTTAGGTTGCGTGGTGTACCTTCCCCATAGCAGCCCCTGTCTTGTGGAATACCCTTCCCCCTGAGATCCAGCAGGCTCCTACACGCCCCACATTCTGGAAGTCTAAAAAGCTGGTTCTTGCCAGGAGTGTTGGGGTACTCTGAGGCTAGAGTCCAGTGGACTCTTGATGGTCTGTTGCCTTTGGACAGCCAGGATTCCTTCTCTTTTCTTAACCCAAGTTAGTATCTACTAACTACGTCTTCCTTTGTTTTAATTCTGTACAAGGCACAAATTGTATTTAGGTTTTTTTGCAGTTACTCCCACAAGGATTCCATGTTATACCATAGTCAATGTTCATATGAAATAAATAATGCCCTTCTCCAATAAAGTAATTTTGGTATGCACTGGAAAAAGGTATCTTTCCCAGTGGTTCAGTGAAATATAGACTAACAAAAGCAAAATTAGAATTCCTCACCCCCATCTTTTCTTACAAACTGCTATAATGTCATTTCAATATAGAAGGAAGACTGAATCCTGGTTTTCATTTTCCAAATCCAACTGTCTATACATGGGTCCATAAAGTTTTTTTTTTTAAAACATATTATGTTAAGATATTCTACATGCAGAAAGCAGCTTTCTGTTTTGGAGATTTTTTTTTCTTTGTTGAAAAAGCTACCTTAAAGCTCAACCTGTCGCAGTTTCAAGTCTCTTATTGCTTCTAAAAACAATTATGTACAAAAGCTCTAAATCACTGCAGGATAGGTACAAAGCTCTTCAAATTATCTAGAACTCTCACAAAGACATAAAATATTATCAGTAAGGCAGCAAGAATTGCAAGCTCACACATCCTGACAGGAATAGGACAGCAGGCGTAATACCAAATGGTGGCTTCAAAGAAACATCAAGTAAGACAAGTTAGTCTTTTCAGAAAATGCAAGTGGAAAATATCTAACTCTCTATTTGGAGAGAAGAATTTGATTTATGGTACATAGTCCCATAAACACTGCTGGAGCTTAATTATATTTAACCATAAGACCTCTGTACCTCTTCTCCTGCTGGAGAGTGAAACAATATATCTCTACCCTTTCTGTTCATTCAAGGTTGAGGATCTGACCTATATCCCTCCAAAGTTCCCTTTATCAAGTACAGATTGTTCATTATTTCCCCTAATAGTAGCACATGAGTACCAGTGGTGTGCCCCAGCAAACGCTTTTTTCCAAACCTTTAATGTCACCTGGCAACTTTATATATAGCATTTTCAAGCTCACTTCCAAGAGGCAAGTCACCAATCACTCAGGTCTAGCTTTAAACCCACCAGTTTGGGAACAATTCTGATGTTCACTTTGCAACGTTTGAATTTTTTTTTTTAAACAAGAGAATGCATTATTTCTGTGCTGGAAGGGCAGGGCCAAGCTTAGAGATCACCGGCAACAGTGAATTGATACTTTATAGAATCTATAGAGTTAGAAGAGGCAATTTACACCATCAAGTCCAAATCTATATAAAGATGTCCCCAGCTGCAGCTATCTCCTGTCCAGTCTCTACTGAACAAATCCAGTGGAGAAACTCACCAATTTTCTGAATAATTGGTTCCACTATCAAAATGCCTTTTCCGTTAGAAAAAAATGTTCATATCATTTACAATACCTGAAATCTACCTTCATATAATTAGACCCATTCTTCTGCATCTGCCCCCTAGGATGACAGAGAATATATCTTTTCTACTGCCGTGTCTGCCCTACTCAGAGAATATGTCTACTCTACTCTTCTGTAGGCTATAGGGAATTTAAACCAAGACATTTCATATGAAATAATCCAACTCTTAAAAAAAGCAAACCATTATGAAAGATTATAAAGTTTGTTGTTTGAATGATATGAATGCATGCATGCATAACTTTGCATCTGTGCAGTTAAATGGTATCTACCTGCTAACTGATTTATGACATTACCATAAGTTCAGATATTTTTTTTAAATAAATTCATCAGTAGTTATGCAACAGAAAACTCACACACAAATAGGCGTACACAATTATTTTTATATGAGAATTATTTGTAACATCTGACTCCATTTTTGTATAGCACATATGAACAAAATGCAAGCTAACATATAATGAGTCTCAAAACTTTTCAAAACAAGTTATAATTCGTGCTCTCTGAGCTTGGTTATTTTCTTGCAAATGTTTCATTATCCAAAGTAGGTAACATCATCAGTGCTAGCTATTTTTAAAATATGCAAAAATATCATCAAAATGTCAGCTCCAGGGGTGTTCTGGTTTACCTTCTATTTTATAAGTTGTAAACTGTAAACTGAAGGTTTTGCTAGAAATGTTCATTTCTTTCTGATCTACAATTCACAATTGATGCACTTCAAGATATTTAGCAATTATCTTAATACTTTCTTTCCTAGTGAAGGGGATAATGGGAACATCTCCTTGCACTGCAAAGCTGATTATTCATATGCTAAATTTATCTTTCTATCCTGAAAGGCAGCAAGATGAAGACAATGTTCCAAAACCCAGTTATGTCCAACAATAAATCAAAATCAAGAGTCTAATAACTCTTGATAACAAATATTAAAGCTAGGATTTGGTGGCATATGGGACATCCACTGTTCATCTAACTTCAGGTTCCTCAAGTAGGGAGAAAGAATACAAACATCAAATTTTATAAAAGTTACCTATGAAGTTAGTGGGTATTACTAGCTATTTCTCTTCAAATAAAAAATGTTAAAATGCTTACCTACATAGATCTTTATTAGAAAATTGATATAACTTTCAGTTTGTCAAAACATAAGCTGCATTCTAATTAAATGCAGCCCTGAATACGTGAAATTTAAGAAAATAAATAAAATGTTAGATATTTTGAGGTGGTACAACACTGTACTTTAATCATTCTACGTCTAGCATGTTACATCTGGAGATAAATGTTATATGGGAACCCTTACTTTTTGGACATATGACAACATATTATGAGCCGAGGTGGCGCAGCAGTTAGAGTGCAGTATTGCAGGCCACTTTAGCTGACTGTGTTCAGCAGGTCAGCAGTTCAAATCTCACCGGCTCAAGGTTGACTCAGCCTTCCATCCTTCTGGGGTAGGTAAAATGAGGACCCAGATTGTTGGGGGCAATGTAAATATATATATACATTGCTTACTGATGTAAACCGCTTAGAGAGTGCTTGCACTTAAAGCGGTATATAAGTCTCATAAATAAATAAATAAACATAAAATAATTATATGTATGTAGAAAGAAATAAACCTCTGAGAAACCCTAAGAAAATAAAAGAAATAAAAATGAAAAGAAAAAAAGCAGGATTTAAAAAATGGCTTTATAAAGTATCATCAAGTAAAAAAAATGCACATATTTTCAAGGAAAGGAAAAACAAATTCTGCTAAGACAACTTCACTGTCCTGCACAGGTAGATGCTTCTTTTGCTGCTTCTCCAAATGTTTTTTCAATGTTCACTTAGTTCTCTTTCTCACTTTACTTTCACATGCCCCCTCAAGATTATTAAAATTAAAAATAAAATAAATGGAGAGGTGGCATCTGCAAAGCAAAGGTCTGGCCTCTAGCCATTTATTTGCAGGGTTTTTTCTTTTTTCTGTCCTCTCTGCGATATCAGAGTATTTTGGGAGAGAGGAATTGAGAAATATGTCTAGCCTTCTCAAAAATGCTAATTAGGTATCCAGCAGATGTTGTATTCTCCCTCAAGCACTTGACACAATATTTTAGCAATTCTAGAAACAATTCTAGAAGCTTATAGAACAACAGAGCCAATGTCAAAAGGACTCTTCTTAAACAAACTGAAAGGATGGTCCTACATTATAAAAAAGTGACAAAAATGTAGAGGAGTAGATGAAAATTAAAATTTCCATTTGCAAAACTTTTAGCAATTCTACCTTATTTTGTGTCATAAATTCCACAGTTCGGAAGCCATAATAGTTCAACAGAATATATTTTACTCTATTTGTCACTACTACAAACAATCTAGACTAGATCAGAACATAAAATCATACTGTATCATTATGATAGAAAGGGAGGAGCCTAAACCACATTGCCTCTTGATCCAATTTAAAACCATTTGTTTAAGCAAACAACTATTAACTATTCTGACACATTTATGACAGAGCTATCTATCAGTACTTGCTCCTGGCGTGATGCATATTCCCTTCAAAGCTGAGAGTCAATATTCTAGAGCATAATGATAATGAATCACCCTCTTTAAATATATGCTTCTTGCTTCATTCTTCATGAAAAAAGTATCAGGATTTTAGTGGGAAGAAGAATCGGAGGGAAAGAGAAGGCAGAGGAGACAAAATCATGAATTTTCATGGGAAAATTCTCTTTCAACACATTTTACAGAAAGGAATGCTCTTTGGCTCACAGGCTCTATCTTATCAAAAGGTCTTCAGTATTTTAGAGTGATGGACTTGAAATCTCAGCTCTGGGACTTTTCTGACTTATGGTAGTCTAAGGCAGTGTTTCCCAAACTTGACAATTTTAAGGCATGTGGACTTCAACTCCCAGAATTCCACAGCCAGCGTTGCTGGCTGTGGAATTCTGGGAGTTGAAGTCCTCATGCCTTATAATTGTCAAGTTTGGGAAACACTGGTCTAAGGCAATGATATTTAGAAACTTCATCTTAAAATATGAAAAGAGGCCTGTTTGAAATTTGCTAAGTTCAAAAAATCTTAAGGCTGATTATACAATGTAGTACTGTGCTTAACTGATCAGGTTAAAGACTGTAGTACTGTAAGAGTGATTTTAGAAATTATTTACAAAATTTCTCTTCAAAAGTCTACAACACCTGAGAAAAAAAAGCACCTTAGCCAAATTAAAATCAGAACCAAACATTTCTGTTTGCATTTTATAGGCACACTCATGGGGAATATGCAACTTTACCACCAACAGATGTAGAAGAATTTTCATCTTTCTTTCATCTGGAATGGGATTCTGGATATTTTGCTTGGTCAAAAATCTCCTACACAAGCAAAGTCCAGTTGAATGTTACCTTCTCCCCTGTACAGAAAAAGTTGCCACGGGTCTGAATTTTGATCATGTGATCATAAGAATGCTGCAACAGTTAGTTGTAAGTGTGAAAAATGGTCATAAGTCACTTTTTTCAACGCTGTTGTATCTTTGAATGGTCCCTAAATGAACTGTTGTAAGTTGAGGACTACCTGTATTGAAAAAGTACAAGAGATAAAACCTCCCTTGATGAACTCGAAGCTGACACTAGAAAAAAACAGAATTATTTTAGGCTTAACATCTCTATTGTAGAATTGACAGAAGATGAAACAATATCCCATTCCCCCAAAGCACCTGTTTTCCCTTTGAAGGTTGAAGGACCTGCGGTAAAGGAAGACTAAGAAGCAAGCTGGTCCTGTTCTATCCTACCAGTCATAGTTATACTGTAAATATGGAGAATAGTTCAATTCTGTATCTGTGGAAATACATTCTTCTCTCATCACATTATTTATGAGAGCCACTCATCTTCTCTGAAAGGATTTTTTTTAAAAAAAAATGGTTTTATATGGGCACACATAAAAACTTTATGAGCTAAAGATATCAGTTAAAATCCTAAAGAAACATGAGATTCAGGCTTCTCTAAAACCAACACTGGTATATGTAAATTAAAATCTAAAGAGGAATAGATCATATAAGGTTTTGATGAGCACTCGGCATTTTTTTTTTCATTTCACTTGGGTAAAGTTTAATGATATAGACAGATTAATGTAATTAACTTACTAACAGATATTATAGATTATTATTATTAGCCATGGCTCTAAATACTGAGATTAGTTCTCCCCAGTCCCAATTTGTATAATAGCAAAACTGTTTCAGAAGTGGGTCTGCTAGATAAATTTTAATTTCAAAATACATGATGGCCACAGCTAAGAATTCAAAGTCTATAAAACAACAACGCTGTAAAAGTAATGATTTTTAACTGTCACTGTGTGCAAAGTAATAAAGGAACCGACTATTGTGAATGTCAATTACACCACAACCAGATATGATTACCAATAACAATAGGTTTACACAACTCTATTTTATTTTAATGAAATCCAAACAGAGTCTTACTGAAAGTGGAATATGTTGCATCCTCATGCCTGTCATGGCAACATCAAATTGGGAATTTTCATTTAGATCAGGGGTGTCAAACTCAATTTCACTGAGGGCCGCATCAGCATTGCGGTTGCCCTTGGGGTGTGGCCAGAGTGGGTGCAGCCTACCGGGTGGGTGTGGATGGAGTGGGTGTGCCCTACTGGGTGGGCGTGGCCAGTTCTACATCATTTGCATCAAGGGTGCCTGTGGGGGCCTGGGCAGGAGTGGGACAGATCTGAGGGTCTCTGGCAGAAGGGGGTGGGACCGGGGCAAGTGCCAAGGCATGGTCCACCGGTGCAAGTGCCAAGATGGCCACCACAAAATTGTACATTGGCTCCCGGTAGGCCTGGGCCAGAGCCAAGGCAGCGGGGGCCGTTCCCTCACTGTTTCCAGGATGGCTTCGAGGGCCACATGAAATCACTTCATGGGTTGCATCCATGAATAATTTGGTGTGAAAGTTTACATATTGTGTACTTGGTCCTGAAACAGCTGCAAATCCAGAATCTATTTCTAAAATGGTCAGTTTGCTGGAGAAACCAATGGATCACTTGGATAAATGTCAAAGTCTGGAGTCTTTTAGACACATAAGGATAATGTATATGTATGTCTTAAGCTTTTGACTTTGAAATTGGTTTCTGAACTTAGTTTATTCTTGAACCAAGAACAATGATGGAGTTTACTCATTATGCTAAATCATTATGCTTAGGGTCATATGGAATGTGAAACCATAAGCTATGATTTCTTAAATGAGTTCACACAACACACTATGACAAAATTAGCAAATCTCATTGTGCTCAACATGATGTATGAAGCCAACTTTCCCTCTTAATGATGAAATGAACTTTTTTCTTTAGGACTCGGATTTATTTCTTCACTGGGCTTCTACATTCAATTATTTAAATGTATTCTTCTAGTGTTTAGAAAAAAGTAATAAAACTCTAATTTACTTTCTTACCTTCATGTGGTATACAAAAAGTCAAATGTAGACTGATTTAGTTTTGTAACATAAAAGACTTTTTGGAGTCTGAAATATAACTGACATAAAACAGGGCTTTTCAACCGGTAATATGCACCCACGCCCTCAGCTCTGCAAAGGCAAAAAAGTTGCAATACATCATGATATGTCACATGACGCAATCGAGTTTGACACCCGTGATCTAAAATATAAAATAGCTGACAAGAAAAACTGTTTTTGATGATATCCCAAGGGAGAGAAGGAAGACATGACTGTCTGAATAAGTGGTTTTCCACCAGACCTTTGCTTCATAGCTGGTCTCAGTGGAAAAGTCCGCTGTGCAATCATACATATACAGGCAGACAGTTGGGAACACCTTTTGAAGCAGCCACACAAGCCTTGTAAATATTGCTGCTTTAGTGTTTCAATAATAAAGAAAGGTTTTGCAAAGCATGTGTTTATATGCTTTGTGAAACAGCTCTTTTGAGTTCTTTGCAGTCCTTGTAGTCATTCTTTTTTCCTCCAAGCTGCTAAAATGCACAGCAATAACAATTACAGAAACAAAACTACTTAATTTTGTATCATGAATTGCTCTGCTTTTTAAGAATTATGCCCTGGTCAAAGGAGAATTTCTAGGTTCTACCCCATAGTACCCATTAAGCCATCATCACAACTGCAACGTAAGTGAAGCAATCACATACATTTTTGTAACAACAACACAGAACGGTATTCTTCCTCTCTCTATCTTCCCACAGCTAGCCAAATCCAATCCAGAGAGTTGGGGATATTCCAAAACAGATGTGGGACACATATGGAAGAATAAAGGGAAATCCTATATGGAAATAAGGACACAAAATACCTGTGACTAGTAGACTTACCTAACCACCTCATTAGCGATGTCATGATCTGAAGATATTTAGTTTTCTGCACATTAAAGAAGGTGAAAGGACCCAAAAGAAGAGTAAATACTGCCTGAAAGAAAAACAATTGAGAAAAACAATGCAGATTAAGAAGAACAGCTTCCTGGTAGAAGTCTAAAAAGTTCACTTTACCAGTTATTATTCGCTTAAAAAAATAATAAATTTGCTCAGTAAACAATTTACTTATTTTTTTGATTAAGATAGAGCAGTGGTTCTCAACCTTTTTAATGCTGCGACCCCCAACCTGTCGTAAGTCGAGGACTACTCAACCGGCTGTAAGTCAAGGACTACTCAACTGGTGCAGCACCATTTGCAGAATGGGACTTTTGGAGGGCTCAGCAGGGCAGAGACAGCCTGGACAATTCCTATTGGCTTTTGAAAGCCAATAGAATTAGACTCTATTCAAGAGAGTCTATTCTGTTGGCTTTCAAAAGCCAATAGAATAAAAGGGAGTAGCACAGCTAAGGAAAAGGGGAAAAAAATGGCGGACTGCGTTGTTCGGCGATCCCCGTGAAATGGTTGTTCGACCCCAAATGGGGTCCCGACCCACAGGTTGAGAACCACTGAGGTAGAGCCATAATACAAATAGGCTTCATCATACTTGCTGCAGCCAGTATGACACATTGAGATAATCTATCTCAGATATACTTAGTATCTTTTTTATTTTATTTTATTTTTTTCAAATTTCTCCTAGGAAGAAACAAACTTTGGTATTTTTAGCAAGAGTCAAATTTATTCTAAAGTGGCTTATTAAATGTGTATCATTAATACTAAAATATGCCATATAGAATACATCATCAGAAAAAATGATAAATAGCAAATAAAAATTCAGAATACACATTTATGTAGGTGCAAAAACAGCCCAATATTTCTTGTGCATTTCAATACTGACTTTAAAGGACAGCACGTAAAAAAGGTGGACAAATCAGTTGGGACTGAAGTCTAAAAGAGGCTTTCTTTTCACTCTGCTTGACTCAATGAAAATCACCCCTAACTTGTTTTTTGTCCTATTGAATAGTCATGTTTTGTCATGTAGGATAGAAGAAAATGAATGTGTGCATGAGCACGCATTTTATTTTCATTTGGAAAGATAACCCAGGTGCAGTCATATTTCTCCTTGTTAATTAAGATGTTGGAAAAATGGTGGGAGATTCAAATTTCACTTCTTTTGAGTATTTGTTTCAGGAACTCATCTCATGGCCACATTTTCAAAAACTGACAGTAGTGATGTCATAATGACAATCAATACAGTTTTATAGGATTATCAATAACCTGTTCCCATTTCCTTTCAAGGGGCTCCCAAAGTGTTCAGAAGTATCTCTTAAAGCATGTCATAAACATTTTACAATGTTTACAAAGTTCTCTATATTATTATTATATACACAACAATATGTAATTATAGCTCCCAATTCTTTAGCTGTTGTTGGCCTTCATAAGCATTGAGTTCGTCCCAAGAACCTAATGTATCAAAGTAGTATATGTGCAGATCCAAATCATGTGGCCTTTTGTAATTAATACATGGAAATTTTGTCAATCTGCAGATTTACTAAGTGTCATCCAAGGCTTTTTCATATACCATCCACTGATAACCACTGTGACCACAGCCAGTTTATGCCACAGTCTTTAAACTTGGTGAAGTACTTTGTGAACTCCCAATCTTTGTCTTCTATTCTATTTTCCCTTAATATTGTCACATCAATTATCCACATAATAATTATCCATTCTTCTTCTTTTCAACCACACTTAAATCTGGTGTGTTAGGTGCCAAGACTTTATTGATTTGTATTTGGAAATTCCACAATATTTTAACCTGCTCATTTTAAATTAAATTTTCCAACTATATCTTCCCACTAATTTTTCATTACTGGTCATGATAATTTTTACAGATGTTCTAATGAATTGTTTTGGTGAATATGCCAGGTTTTATCTTTTCCACTTTCCCCTCCATCTTTTAAAGAAATTGACCATATAATGCTTTTCCTTGCCGGCATTTTGTTCACGTATTATTTTGGTATTCAGGTTTTTCTGTACACTCAGTAAGTTCCAATTTTTAACTTGCATCAGTCTCCCTTTTTTACTGTCTTTGACATAACCAGCCAATGCATGCTTCAGTTTGTTTGACCTAAAGTACACCTCTGCTTCTATTTTTGCAGGGCAGGTATAATCTATCATTATCACTACAGGGATGTAATACATAACAAATAGGCATCAGTTTTCTTGTTTTTCAATCCAAACTATCCATTTCAGGTTGTGTCCAGTTAATAATTCCAACTGTGTGTCATATCACAGGTTTGGCCCAGGTATTGATAGCTTTGATGGTGTTTCCATCATTCAATTTTGTCTTAACAATTTTCTCATTCTTTGGATCTATTCTTTATTAATCGCTTTTTAAAAAATTTATCAATGCTTGATGTTATCCAACTGTAAAATGCCCAGATACTGTTTAGGTATAATTGTTACTATTGTTATTTAGCCTTAAGCTAATGATATTAAAATTCTAAATTTATTATATAAAAATGTAAAATTAATTTTAAAACTAATCTTGAAAATTTCTTAAATACCAATAAAATATTGGGTACTATTAATTCTGCACCTCTTGTCTATTTAAATTATGTAGCCAAGTAGGCTGTGAAAGAATATTCTGCTGGATACAATCTATTCTGTTGAAAGCCTGTCCTTGTTGCAAATAAAAGACAAGGTGCAATTCTACATTAGGTCTAAGGGAATAAGGCAGATTAGTATATTTATGCATAAATGTGAATGCAATGGTGGTGATATGCTCATTGATGGCATGTGTGAGTATATGCAGACAGTACTACGCTGCTGGCTGAGAACCTGCATAATTTGGCTGAGAACGTACATGAAAAGGAATAGTCTGGTGTATGGGTACACTCTATTCAGCAATTAATAATAAAAGAACTTTAATATTGTTTAATATCACACGTTTGGTTGCTATTATTCATAATTCAAAAGATGAATTCTCTAGAAATATTGCCCCAATTTTCCTGGATTTCACATTGTAACAGTCCTTGTGTGCCTCTGACAAAACCATTTAATCAACTCTGCTCGGAATGGAAGGGAAAGACAAGAGAGGAAAAGAATATTTAGTGGTGGCGGGATATCCCTGAAGTTTAATAAGGTGAACAACAGCTTCTCAGTCTCCAGCAACATTGGAATATCATCTAAGCAGCAGCACAACCTACATTCTGAGTGACTGGACACGTGCTTTGTGGATCAGTGGTTGCAAGAACGTATGTATTTTCACGTAAATCATCTTTACTGCCTTTCTTCAAAGATTTCAGGGTATGATTTAAAGTTAAAAATACATGCAATATTATGAACTCATTTCTGAATTCATTATGAAGAAATAAAGGAATTAAACAGTACAGAGTATTAAACAAAGGTTACAATAGCATTTTTATCGTATTTTCCACTAGTCTTTATGTTTCAGCTGGATACTCAACAAACCATAATAAACACTTCAACATGACAAATGTATAAACAATAAAGGTAGCTAATATCACAAGCATTTGCAAAATACAAAGGAAATATAAAATTCATGAATTCTGATAACCTTTTGCTACAGGTAAAATCTACTCTCCTATTATACCAATGATCATATGATCATACCAGCTAATTAATAATCAAATAAAAACAAACCCCACTTCCATCATTTGATCAGCTTTGCAGACATACATACTGAGATCAGACATCTGATGAAGACCTGGAACTATTCAAGGGAGCCCATTGGGCTACAACTATGATATAAAACTTCTTATCGCTCACGTCTATCCAAAAAAAAAAAAAAAGATAGGAAAGGAGAAAGCATGTTCTTTTGATGTAAGCCTGCTTTATGTGAATTTTGTAAACATACCTAAAGACTTCTAAATGTCCTCACTTTCATTAAGTGAAATGATAATATTCTTCATCTATAATATACAAGTTAAATTATCTTTCAGGAGCACTGTAGAGTCCACAAATGTCTTCAACTCTAATCCTTTGACAGCCCAAAGAAATCAAACATAAAAACAAAAATAAGTTACTTCTTTGAAGGCTTTGACAGTGAATTCTAATCAGAGTGCGATGCTTTAGTAATTCCCCATGGAGACAAAATTTCCTACCTCTACCATTCTTAATCTGAGTAACTCTCAATGAGTTGTCTCTACAACTAGAGCCAAGAATAAGAAACCAGGAGGAGGCCAAACAATACAGTCCTCGCTTACCAGTTGTCTCGTTCAGCAACTATTCCAACTTACAACAGTGCTGAAAAAGATTTATGACTGGTCCTCAAATGTATGGCCACCCCGAGGTCCATCGCAATTCAGGCAATTTGCAACTAACTTGATTTACAATGGTCACAGTGTCCTACGGTCATATGATTGCCATTTATGACCCTCACAACTGGCTTCCAACAAAATAAATTATTTACTTCTAGCAATAAATCACAGTTGCAGTCATGTGACATCACACTAAACAACCATTTAGTGTGATGTCACATGACTGCAACTTGCAACTAACTGATTTGCTTAACAATTGAAGTGGAATGATGTCTTATGTTGGACCTGGCCACTTGATATTTTTCTTAAGGGCCATGTCGTTTAGCATCAGAGTTGCCAATCCCAGCTGAAGCATCAACCCTCTCAGGTAACTTCCTAGACAGGATATGTAATTAGAAGAACTAATTCTATTTTATTGTAAGGCTAAATTAAATGAATTGGCAAGTCTGAAAGTACCAATTTCCCGCCACCACTTTTAACTGTTTTTTTATCCATCTGGGCAGGTCCTTCCTAATTTTCTTTCTCTGAGTGTTAAGCCACTGGGGGCTCCTACTTATCTAATTGCTTCTTAGGCACATCTCTATCCTATTCCCCAAGGTCATCCACACATTCAAATACATTAAGCAAAGATTACATGTATATTTATTGTGGAATGCAAACTAAACATTTTGAGTTAACAATATAACCATTTATGTTGGTAAGACAGTGGTGGGATTCAAATAGGTGAACAACCGGTTCTCTGTGTGGATGCCACTTCCAGAAGTTCATTCTGTGC